GACAGAAGAGATTTTGAATAAGTTGCAAAAGAAGCAAAATCAATTTTGGAGAAGGGTGGGGAGTGGGGTGGAGATGGTGGTATTGAGGAATCGCTGATTAACTACACTTTCAGCCATGTATCCCAGACACTAATCTCTCACTGCAAGAAAAAACTTTTTCTAAAATTGATTTTGCTTCTTTTGCAACTTATTCAAAATCTCTTCTGTCTCATCCTTGAACTGTTCACACGCAGGAACAGTTTCTCCCTAACTACACTGTCCTGGCCTCTGTGTTTGAATACCTCTATCAGGTCTCATCTCAGCCTTTTCTTCTCCAAGGAAAACAGTCCTAACTTCTCCGATCTATCTTCGCAACTAAAATTTCTATGCTGCTATTAGTAATGCCTACAGTAGTGTTTGCTTCATTTCCACCTGACCAGCCACCTTTAATGGCTTATGCATATACATCCAGGTACCAATGCTCCCACTTCCCCTTTAGAGTTGTGCCCTTTAGTTTATGTTGACTGCCTATGTTCTCCTTACTAAAATGAATCACCTCTCATTTCTCTGTATTGAATTTCATCTGCCAGCTGTTTGCCCATTCCACTGTCAATGGACTAATAATAGAAGCCCAGGTTAATGCTCTGGTAATATGGGTTTCATTCCCACCACAGCAGCTGGTGGAACTTAACTTCAATTAATTAAAAAAATCTTGAATATAAAATAAATCTCAGTAGGCATGACCATGTCAACTATCACAACTGTTATAAAACTCCATCTGCTTTAACTAACTTCCTTTTGGGGAAGGAAATCTGCCATTTTTCTCCCTCTAAATGGCTCCAGATCCAAAACAAAGTGGTTAACTCTTGGAAAGTCACTCAGTTCAAGGGCAATGAGCAGTGGGAAGCAAACATCAACATCCCATGAAAGAACAAAAAGATGACTAATTATTTATACACAACCTTCAATGGGGAAATTGTATAGGTTATTCTCCTGTTGAGGAAATGCAATTCTGTACTCAGACATCCAGTCAAATGGCTGTTCCCATACACAAAGCATCAGCAAGTTGTTACAAGGCTGTCGATGTCCATAAGACACCAATACTCACAAGTACCCCTTTAAAGCACACATCCTGACATGGAAATATATCATCGTTCCTTCACTGTCGCTATCTGCATTAAGGCATGTGGATCTTCCTACACCACATGGAGTGCACCAGTTCAAATAGGCAGCTCACCACCAACTTCTCCAGCGTGGTTTGGGATGGGTGATAAATGTTGATCCAAACCAACAATTCCTACATCCCATGAATGGACAGAAAGAAAAAGAAAACAGACCACAAGGTGGGGGAACAGAGACAATGCAACTGCTCGTGGCACTCTGGAGAGAGCATTAACATGCCTTCAAATCTCAAATCTGAACCATTCACAGTCTTACCTATTGTGATAAACTCATTGTTGTTTAGTAAGCGTGACACCTCCTCCATTCCTGCCCAGCTGTCACGCTCTAGTACCTGATGGAATACAAAGAGCTGTCACACAGAACATGGATACAGAAAGAAAAACAGCATGACATGCATTTATATAGCACCTGCATCATAGCAAAATACTCCAAGGATTATCATAAAAGCAAGAGCAAAATGTTGGTCAGAAGTTAAGAAAAGTAAAGGAAGTGACTAAACATCAGAGGTAAAGGAGGGAGAGATGTAGCGTGTTGAAGAGTCCTCCGGTCAAAGGCACACTGGAGTTGAAAGCACTTGATGCTGAAGCTGAGGATGGTATTGCTATGATGTGTTGCAAAGTAGTTTAACAATAGGATGATCGTAGACACATACAAAAAGTACATACACAACTATAAGTTCTTTGATTATAACAAGAAAAGTTGTAAGCAAAGTTCAGGAAATATATGTACACCCTACTAAACCAACTTATTTAACAACATCCAAATAAATGGTTTAAATACACAGCTTCATACAAATTTAAATAGATTATTATTTTTCATTGTAGCCTCCCTTAAGTACAAGACAAGGTGGGTTTATTCTCCCCATTGTGTAGTTGTGCCAATTTCCCTGTCATGTGTTATACTGCACAGAACTCACCTGTTCTATAATCTTACAGCTTAATGGAATGTATGCACCACTGAATACATAGGCCATGTTCCGTGGCACCTTCAAATCATACTCTTCTTCAGTGCGGGGGATCTGGAAAGGGACAGAAAATGCTAAGGCAAGGGGACACAAGAGGAAAAGTGAAATGGGCCTCAGTAGACCGCACATCTCTATCACGCTCCGTTAGTTTAATATTACCACAATTATTCAGCTCTTCCTTGAGCCTTTTCCCTGCTTGAGTGTATTCTCTGTAACTACAAAGTCAAAGAAAGAAAATTTCTTTTTGCTAGCCTCCACTTCACTAAGGAGGCTTCATATAAATCCACATCCACCAACCTGCATTGAAACTGCTCACATTTTGATAGCTGTGAAAATGTCCTCCACAGCATCCGAGACAATCCACAACATTCCAAACCTACCAACAGGATTTAAATTAAACATTTCACAACTTTCTTAAAAAAAGTCAATTCCCAACATTAATGGATCTATTAAAAATCCCCCAGAATCTAGAAGTCCACTTTCACCAAAATCTAATAAGTTCTTTCTTCAGCCACACCTTATATCTGTACCAAGTTTCATTAAACATATCAATTTTTGAGTTTTTGAGATCTATTGTTTACAAACAGACTAACAGGGCTAAACCATTATTTCAACTGACCTCCAGCAGAACAGTGAAACAGACATTTTTCTGAAGAAGGGTCTAGGCCCGAAACGTCAGCCTTCCTGCTCCTCTGATGCTGCTTGGCCTGCTGTGTTCATCCAGCTCTACACCTTGTTATATCAGTGAAACAGGCCACTTAGCCCACTCATTCTATGCCATAGTTTGCGAAAGATTGTGACATATTAGTAAAATCACTGGACTAGTAATCCAGAGGCCCTGACTAATGCTGGTGGAATTCAAATTAAAATTAATAAATCTAGAACATAAAGATGGTCTTAAGAGCAATGATTGTGACACCTATCATTGATCATCATTAAAAAGAAGCATAGTTCATTGTCCTTTTGGAAGCTTTCTCTGCCTCCAGATCCACGCTAATAAGACTGACTATTAACTGTCCTCTGCAATGTCCTACTAATATCATTTTAAGGATAATCAGGGATGAGCAACAGATGCTGCCATTGCCTGCAACACCCACAGCCCATGAAAAGATAGAGACAAAAGTCAATAAAGAGGAGTACACAGTTAATTTCCCACAACGTCGAAGTCCGGCCATAAATGATTAAATAATTTATGAAAATAAAACAAATAAACATAAATACAATAATTGCTACACTGCCTAGTCTGAACTAGATTTAAAATACCAAATTGGAAAATAGTCATTGCACTCATTAAATAAGCTCCCTGCAACACAACCACCATCAAATCTGCTCAATCCGTTTAATGAGTTAAAGGAGTAAGAAATCACGCTGAATGCTGTCAGGCTGTTTCACTATGGGAAGCATCACAACTAAGCTGAACCCTATCCTCACGTGTATTAAATTGTTGAATAGTGATCGGTAATGTTCCCAGCCTTCAATGAAATCAACTCAAACTGAACCAGACACAATCCTGCTGAGAATATTGGTCAGTTCTTGAGTGAACAGAATGAAAGACTTGTGTTTATTTAGTATCTTACACAACCAGAACCTCTGAAAATACTTAATTGGCAATAAGGCACTCTAAAGTGTAGTCACGATAGTAATTTAGGAAACTTGACAACCAATTTGCACACAGGAAATTCATAAATCAGCTATGTAATTATGGCCAGACATTTTTGGGAAATTAATTGATGGATAAATATTCATCAAAAAAGCAGGGAAACGACCCCGTCCCCGCTCTTTGAAACAGTGCACAGGATCTTTTACGTTGACCTGAGCAGGCAAATGGGGCTTTGGTTTAATGCCTCATCCAAAGCACAGCACCTCCAACAGGACAACAGTCCCTCAGTCCTACACTGGGAGTGTCAGCTTTAACTTTTGGACTCAAGACCTGGAGTTGGACTCGAACCAGAAACTGTGTGTCTCAGAGGTAAGAGTGTTACCTGCTGTCACAACTGATAACAATTCCACACTGGAGTGTTTACCAAAGGAAATTTCAATGGAGAATTTTTTAAAAAATTATTGTGTTGTCCCCCTTTTATTGTACGGTACCTTCTTGTGCTTACCAGATTCAGTCGTTTGCTCAAAGCCCTGAAATGGCTTTTCCTGGCTAAAGATGAAAAGGCATCGGTCAATTTCCCTGAAAATAAATTATTCATGTTTAATTTCCAGTCATTATGTAAAATTACCACGGAAACAAACCAGCAATATACATGCAATGGAAATGGGATCCAATGGAGCAGAGCATTGGAATCGCAATGTATGGTGATACAAGTGGCACTGTTAGGTGATTGTTTTTATCTAACACAGATTTGAAGGGCTGAAGGGCCTTTTTTTAAATACTGTAGATTTCTACGACGCAATGACGACAGCAATCTTGAGCTTGAGTCATTCACAGCTTTGTAGCCATGGGCAAGATTGAACTTCGCATCCAAGGAGACAGACAGCTATGGAATACATTTAGCATGAGAGATGGCAGTTATTTCATCATGAGAAACACCCCACAAGCTCAACCCTAACTTCACCCAATGGCCCCAATGATACATTAGAAGAAAGTAAATAGTTGCATTTTATGGCTCAGGAGATTACACAATTTTTTACAGTCACTGAAACATATTCAAAGTTCAGTTGTTGTTGTAATGTAGGCAACTGGAAGCCAAAATAGGCCACAACAGCAACATGACTAAGCTTGAATGGTCTCTTTTACTGATGCTGACTTGAGGGATAAATATTGACCCTGATTCTGGGAACAATTTTTCAGCTCTTCTTTGAGATAACGTCACGGATCTTTTACATCCATCCAAGGTGGCAGACAGAGCCTCAGTTTAATCCTTAATCCAAAAACACCTCCAATAATGCAGCACTCCTTCAGTATTGCACTGCAGTGTACGTGTATGCTTAAATCTCTGGAGTGGCACTTGAAACCGGAACCTTCTGACTCAGAGGCGTGAGTGTTATCCAGAACTGTCACACTGAGAAGCAGGAACCCATTGTGTCATAACACATTTACCTCCACTCAGCTGAGGTCAGACAGTGGAACATTATCCCAAGGGTATGTTACGTATTGATCAATTCTGCATTAGGTTGTGTTTGCTCATAAACTGAATAATCAGAAAACATTTTTTAAATGATGGGGAAAGAAACCAGACCACTTTGATGTGACAGAAGTCTAATTTTTGAGAATTTAGTCCATTTTTAAACGTCCCATTGTGACACTGAGCATTGCTTGGCTAGAACGTTACATTGCATGTGAGTAAACCTCGTACAGTCTTCTAGCGTTCAGAATATAATTAAATAATCCTATGTCTAGTATATCATCTTATGTTTCCAGTGTCCCCTTACCAACTGCTTTGTCTGTCACAAGCTTCCCCATGGTGCTCTCCACTGCAGTCAGTGTCTCTCCAGGCTGTTGTTCTGTTAGCAGTCCAATTTGTTTCAGGTTGGCAAATGTAAGGATGTGGTCATAACCATAACTCTGGAGGGAAATAAATGCGACAGGTTTACAGATCAGACTGGTAGAGTTTTAAAGGGAAGTAGTCTGTTAATTGTGGTTGGACGTACTGTACACAACTATAATAAAACAGGCAGTCAGGGTACAAACCCCACAAAGGCTTTAATCAGAAATTGTCCCTTGTACAAATCAGACATCATTCAGTTTGGTTTCAGGAATCACTGCATTACACCAGGAGTCAAATTCCCTGTAATCATGAAGGTTTTGATGAATTTGTGTTATTAAAAGACCATGTCCCAGTTCTTAAAATCAAGAATCGCAAAACTAACAGCTTCATTATATTCAATGAAGACAAGATGGTCTGAGCTGACATACGTTTACACCATGTCAGGGTGATCAATAATAGATGGTGACTGAGGTCGGCTGTGGAGTAACTATCACTGCTTGCTTCAATCACATTAAGCCTGGGTTGGATGTCAGATCACATTGTCAATGTTATAGTTGGATAGACAATGCACCAGTCAATCAGAGCCTCTAGGTGTGGATATCACATTCACCCTTGGTTTAATGTGTCAGTTAGCTATGAGTAAATGAATGGGCAACTCTGCATAGTGAGAAGTCCATCAATGGGACTGACAGAGTACAGCAGTTCTACATACTGTACTTTAGACAATTGAGATTTAAGTACTATGTCAACATGTTCCCCTGAAGCAGATCCTATTGCAATATTAATGCCTCCAGAATTTTAAAGGAAAGTTTCCTACATTATTGCTACTGCAGGACAAATGCAGAGGTAGAGACCACTGTCTTTTTGGATATGACTCTGACAATATACGGGCAGGCTGAGCAACATTTGGTTCGGACTTCTTCCACTCCCTTCCTCATCTCTTCGCACCCTCCAGCTGTCAACCACTGTAACCTCTCCATCTTTAGCTTTCCTCCAATCCCCTAATCCATGGCTGTTTCTCCTCTGCTTGCGAAAGTTCCTTCCTAATCTCTGAGGAAGGATAGTTGGCAAAATACAAAGTTGCGAATTGTAGCCTCTAAGCGGTGTCCTGGAAAATATTCTTCCCTCAGTCCATAGCATCAAAAAATAGCTCAGTGCGAAGCGCTCACAGCAGTGGACCAAAGGTCAGCAGTTCCTGGGATTTGAACAAATAATCCAAGCTGATGCTTGAGTGGCAAGACAACAGGATGAAGGCCCACCATTGTCTCAATGTTGCCCACAGCCCAAGGACAAAATATAATCCAAATAGCTCAGACTCATGATCACTGCTATATCAGTTGTCTCTTTCTTTGCCTACCTGCAGATACTGAGTTTTCAATGAACGATAATCCTTAGAAATCAATCCTGAGGGGAAATAACAGGAAATAAAAACGCAAAGGATGATTAGAAGAAAATTAGCAAATACTGAAAATCTGAAGTAAAGATTGAAAATATAACACGGCCCTGAAAGCCTGTCAGCATCTCGAACGAGAACAGATAGGGGAATGCTTGAGGTAAGGATCTTTCATTAGAAAAAAGATCTAATTATGTAGAGCAGTGAAGCTTATCTGGCAATTTAAAAAAAAGTTCAAAATAATTTGCTTATACTCTAACTCGTCTTTGAGGCTCAGACTGACATGGTTGCTATTCAAGGAATCATTTAGGCTTCAAACACTTCAGATTTACCATTTTCTGTCAGTGAAAGGAGACACATCAGCCGAAGACTCTCAAGTGGCGAAATCTGAAAGATCAAAATGATTCAGGCATAAACAGGATCTGCGTGGTAACAGTTGCCTGTCAAATTTGGAAACATAAAACACCGAGCTTAGAAGTTTGTTAATCTTCAGCAAAGCACTTTTCTTGCCTCTCAACTAAGCACTATCGACCAAATTGCAGTCCAGTAGCTTGTCCACGTGTGAATGTCTTAACAGCAAGTGGTGAGGAGTATTCAGCTGATTGTGGGGCAAACCACAACCAGATTCACTTTTCTCCAATGGCACTGCAACTCTTACCACCTGTCCCAGTAACTCACAACCGAATGGGAATTAAACTTAGGACCTTGCTGGACTGTTCAGTTCACTTAAACAGTGCTTTTACTAACATATTGTTAGGCAAGTTTTGATCTTATCCAATAGATTGTTAGCACACTTTTAGGACACTTTCCAAGAGTACACTCTGTGGAAATAACAATTACAGACAGTCCGCAAAACAAGGTATCATAGCTATTTGGCTGTGAGGAATGACCATTACTGAAACATGTTTCACAGAGCCTCCGCAAGTGAAGTCACCTGCCCTTTACTGGTGTATTTTTCAAATGATTACTCACTATTAATATTACTCATTCCAACTGTTACAATACACTTTTACGCAAACATAATTTCTTGTATATGGTGAACCCAAGTACCTCAATCTCAATAGCTCCAGTTCAGGGCGAGTGAGTGACTGAAAATCTTGTATACTAACGTACACAACCACATACCTGCCGGTTAATGTGCTCCTCCACACAACTGGTGCTCTCTCGGATCTCAAATCCCTCCAATAGTGCTGTAGAGGGAAAGTCAGTCCATGAACAAAACATAACAAAAAGCACATGGAAGAATTTCAGAAAACTAGGAAACAAACAAAAAGGTAAGTTAAACCTTTGCACGCCTTGACAACAGAATACTTGCAAGAGGCACAGACATACGATAAAAAAAGTCTTTACTGCCATCTGTTTGACTTCCTGGTATTACCTCCTGAAATGAGACATTCCTGGTATCAGAAGTTGTCCCTCCCAAGATTAACTGATCAATTTGCCATTGGAATTTTAAAAATCTATCAATTTCTGAAACAAAGAAATTTCCAGAATTGTCCCAATAGGTGAAATGTGGTTTGCCCCTTTGCACTGACAATATCATCCATCATTTCAACACAGTGATCTCTCTCTTAGATTTTCTGTGATTTTGTGCAGAAATTAAAATTCATTGCACTGCCTTCTGAAATACATTCTTTGTCTGGAAACTTCAAACTGCAGAATTCTTCACCCTCCTCTATCTCATCTTTGACTTACAATTTTAAATGTTTTAAAATGCTCGTTCGCCAATCACTGCTCCTTCAATTACTTTATTTCTTTTCTATTTTTTGGCCAACATCTTAATACTTTGTGGACCCCACCATTTGATTTTGATTCCTTCATTTACAAGAAAGTAGCTGTCCTGTGGTGACCGATTTGCTGCGGGGACTCTCTGTAATCCATACCATGTTCAGACTTCAGCAGCTCCTGAAAGTCTTGTTTAGTTTTCTTCTTCATAATTGACTCACATGCTCCAATATCTGAAAGAAAAATAAATCAATAAAGTATTAGTTGCTGACATACAATAGAATCCCCTGGAGTTTGTCTGGAACAGCAGAAGAACAGCATACAAGCTGCAGGAACAATATTTAAGCAAGCAGATTGTTAATCCATGGAACTGTCTCCCTAGAGACATAGCATAAGGAATTTGCATTGATTCATTAAAATTAGATTAATTTCTTGCACGAAATAATATCGAGATCCATTACATGAGCAATTTGAGTCACGATGTGTGGCAGGGCAACACGCTCAGGATGAGCAGGTGGCTTTGAACTTATTCTTCCCAAATCTCTCCAGCACTGGGCACTTTCCTCACCTCATTTCTGGATCTAATGTAGACTCACTGATAGACACTGATCACTGCAATTAGTCGATAACTCCCATTAACATTGTATCCTGTGATCATTGGGATAGTGGAAGCCTAACAATTCCATTATTATAAAATAAAAGTAGTCATTCCATCAACTGTTTTACAGGTCCTATTGGTTAGGGGGCAGAAAGAAAATCAGAACATTATAAACAGCTCAATAAGGCCTAATTCGTCTGACATAAATCATTATTTTCACTGGCTTGCCACATGTAGCCCCTACCATTAAGCCTGTGCTAATTTGTCCTTTGTCGCTGCTAAAGCAATAGGGCCGACAGTGGCTATTCACCTCAGGGACATCATAGTTCTGCTGGTCCAGTTCTCCTATGCAAATTCTCCAGCAGGGCTTCATTCTAATTGACTAGGAGGGTGGGTGGGTGGGTAGGTGGAGGGGGGTGCGGTGGTTGTCAGTGAGGAGGGTCTGGCCTAATCCTTTAATTACAGCATCCCACCCTAACCGAGATCATCAATCCAGCACAGACTCAGGGGTGACTATATCATGCCCTGGGGTCTCCTTATCACTCAGTATCAAGGCAGCTATAATTAAACATAGGAATGCCAAGACAAAAAAAAATGATGCGGCTCATGTAGTTAACCTCGCTCCTTCCTAGTAGTAACAAAAATAGTTAATGACTGATCACAACAATCAATCTTGATTGATTTGTCTACGACAGACCTCACAGTAGGTGAGGAAACCATACTTTCAATATTACTTGTTTATTACAAACATACAATGTTAATCATGACTTAAATTAATAAACTTTTGACATTTCTAGATTTTGTATCTGAAATCTTGAGGAGAATCCAAGGAACTAATGGCAGCAGGGACATTACTATACTATCTGATCGCTGACTGATAGGAAAGGCCCTCAAAATGGATTCAACAAGTGATAAAGGGAAGAATCTGTATTTATAATGGGCTGGACTTTCCTAGGAGTAGAAACCAAGGTCAGGCTGCTGCTCCACTATTCTTGCACGTTAAGAGCAAGCTCCACATTTCTGAAAGGAGTTTCCAACCAGGGCTCCTTCAGAATCATGAAATGTATTTAAATCGAGCAGATCCTTCAGACACCAAGATGGTTTGGGGAAGGAAACCACAGCCCTTTGTCACAGCAGTCCTTACTGTAATCCATTATTTAACCAACCAACAACACAGCCAATTTGATAGATTCTGCGAAAGGATAAGTACATAAATTAGTTGTAAGGTTACAGGTGCCAGGGTGCAGGGTAGGAAAAAAAGAGATGTTAGTGATAAATATGTTGGGTAGGCCACAGATATCAGATCCAGTGAGCGTAGGGTGGGTGTTTGGTGTAGGAAATTTGATTGGT